AGACGATTATCTTTCTTTGTATGGTCATCGCGATAGCATGAGAGAGAGGGCAGCCTTGGCTTTTACGTAATGTAGAAGCTGATCTATTAAGGTCCGTAAATAAACATGCGTTAGATAATCATATGGTTATGTCATCAGCACATTGCCATACGGGTGTGGTCCGAGAAATAACAGAAGTTATTTAACAAGCGTCTGTTTTTAGAATTACTTCTGGTTGGGTCAAGGTTATACGAAACAATTTATTTATGAAGATAAGTACCTTTAATATTTTATTGATCCGTAGCTCGCGTGGAAAGATGTAACTATAACAATGAAAACTGTTTCATTTTGACCATACACAGAACCTGTATGGGACCACGGTACTGTGAATGATCTCAGGGCAAGTATAATATATTTAAATGTTCCAGAAAGTTTGGCTAGAAAATAGGCAGAGATCTACTTATTTACTCTCTCCCTATACCGTCAGGTACATAAGGCGGAGAGCAGTCGACGCCACGCTTGTATATCCCGGCCATTTTCTCCAATTACGGCACATCTAGGCTCTGGGTGATTGCATCATCTCTTATTGTGCCTCTATAACTTCCAGTTTGTTTTCCCCGTTTTCTCTTTTCAGTTGGTTTCCAATGCCCTGTCTGTTAGGGAAATGCCGTCTTCGGCATTCTCAGAACATGTCCCAGATGTCTCTTTTTTATTGTTGTGTTGATATCTTCAATTCCAGCTCTTTCAAACACTTCATTATTTGTAATAAATGTATTCCATTTTTAAAGTAAAATTCTTCGTAGACTGTTTGTTTAGAAGTTTTTTAATGTTCGTTGAATTGTTTGGTTTGTTTTCCATATCTCTGAACCATACTTCATTACATTCAAAATATTGCTGTTATTTATTATAAATTTCGTCTTCAATTAAGTGATCTTTGAATTCCTTATAGATTTTAATTTCACAAAAGCATGCATTTTTAAGTCTTTGGTTGACGTCGTCAAGACAGTCTGCATTTTTGGATATAATGCTGCCAAGGTACTTGAATTTACTAATGTCTGCAAGATGTTCTCTATAAAGAGCGATAGGCGTAGTTTCTGACGATTGTGGTAGTACTTCTGCTTTGGATACATTTATCATAAGGCCAACTTTTTCCGCAACTTTTG